TACCCCGACTACTAGAGGGTTGATTCCAAGAAGGTGAGGCCCGAGAGAGAGAGAGGTGACTTGCCATGGGTTCCGCTGCATCTGGGTTTGTTTTTTAGGAGATCAGCGGGGCATTTACAATAGCAGCAGCATGTGTGTGTGTATGCTATGATGTGCTACACCGGTGCTGGCTGCTGCTGTGTACACGGCAGCCGGCACACCTCCTTCACGTTGGAGTCCACCGCGGGAGGACTACATGGAAAGGTCGCAGTCGATGTCTCGGTGTCGGCTTTTGTGGCAAGAAATTCAGCGGCATCTGCTCCCTCAAGTAGTTTCAGTTTACAGGTTTAGATGATGCACCATCTATGTGGCAGTTTGAAGGTTCGACGTAGCAGCAATAGCAGGACCGCACCCGGCCGAGAAACCAGCTGAACCAGCTTTATCCCCGCCTCCACCCAAAAAAAATGTCCCCTACGTGTCCACGAAGAGCGATCAGCCAAGTATGATTGTTCACGTCTTTGAGCTCGCAATGGTACATGCGTTCATCGCACCGCGCTTGTCTGCATACTGCGGTCTTTGTTCTATTTACATCATCATCATCGATGCTGAGAAATTACAACGAAATGCAAACCACCACCCGAAAAACACATCAAAATTCCTCGCGGGGGGCAACAGCCCTGTCCTGTCCAAGAGTACGTCAGCAGATGTCATCGTCAATCCCCGAGCCTTCACGCCGTACAGCAGTAGTACTACCGCGGCAGTAGCTTCGGCGATAAATGTGTTTGTGTGTAGCGGGGGCGGGGCGATCTTTCTATTGGCCGTTGTTGCCTCACAAGACCTTGCGAACGTTCATTAAATAGTCTAACCTTTTGAGGGCTATAGATCGGCTCTTCGGGACACTTTTGGTCCCCATCTTCTTCACCTGGTTTGCCTCGCGAAGAATGGCATGGTTGTCTCCCTCCTCCCGTAGACTGCCGGTGCTGGACAACGGAGGTACCGGGATACACGGGGGATAACACTACTTGTATGCATTTACCTGTGTGGTGTGGATGCTTTGTACAACAGCTATATAGTGGAGGAGTAGGAGTGTAGTGCAGGTCGAATCGCGGGACGACTATGCCGCGGCAGGTTCAACAGGGAGGTTGCGCCGCGTCTGTCTACCCTTGACCCTTGGGTGGAAAGCGCTACTACAGCAGTAAGGGGCAAGCGCGGAAGAAGTACCTACACACTACAGCCCACCGATGTGAGGAGGCATCGGGCCAACCTAGGCTTGGGTTTTAGAAGGTCTCGCGTTCCCTCTAGAGGAAGTTCTTGAAACCCTCCTTTGGGGGACCCGGTCCTGTTCGTGCCCCGTTTACCACCCTCCCGCCAGTTGTTCTCTGAAAGCCCTATCGAATGTCCCCGAGGGATTTTGGAACGGACAGCTCAGGTGGGAGGGCACTTTTCACTTGCACCCAGGGATGGAACTGTCAGCATGATCCAATCAGCAGGCATCGTTCTTCTCTTTCTCCTGGAGTACATTTCAAAAATTCGCAAGAGGCACCGAGTTTCCTGCGCGTGGTCCCTGTACAGCCGATGGGTGCGCAAACGATACGTTTTCGGAGAGCTCTCGACCAGAAGGCTTCAACGCCGCAGTTTTCGGCACCCCCACTCTTATTACATTTGATAAATCGAGCTTGACAAATCGGCCAGGGGGTGTGTCATCTTGTGTCGAGTACGGTGTTTACTGCACGGACAGGTTAACAACGTCGAACAAGCAGGAGTATCACTGGCCTCACCCCTTCGTTTGTTGTTTGTTGTTGTCTTCACATTAAAAACCACCATCCAACGCCTTCCGTGGTCACAAGCCAACTGCCCCGCCAAAGGGGGGGAGGGGTACACCTTTCAAAGAAAAAAATTAGAAATGGACACCAGGAAATATTCCTCCGAAGCGCGATTTGTTTTTTAGAAAGTAAACATAACCTCACGGAAAGATTTGTTTTGTTTGTTTCCGACACGTGAATTGTTATTGTTGTTGTTCTTCCGGGTCTTTTGTCCATCGTCACCATAACCACCCTGTCACTGTCACACACTCACTCATTGTCCTGAGTTGCCATGGAAAGTCTCATGTTTGGCATTCTGTGTGTCGAACATTCTTCGAGTTCTTGGCATACATGGATATGGGTGTGTTTATTTTTATTAATTATTTTTCAGGTTTGGGGGAATTATTTTTCAGGTTTGGGGAGTACATACAGTTTCGGCATTTTTTTTTTTTATTTCCCCGCCGACAGCAACACGCAACCCCGGTGAATTTTTAACGCGAGAAGAGTGCAGCACTCTCTTCCCCTTGTGTATGCATACACAAGAACTACTTTGCGCTTTCCACCCACAGGCCAGGAACGGAAGCGAGAGAAAAACTCACTTGGCAAGAAAAGCTCGATTACGCCGGGAGTCGAACCCCTGACCCTGGCCACTATCGTGCAAGGTTAAGGTTTTCGAGGATACCAAATACAAATAGACTACCGGGGCGATGTATGAATCTTACGGAGAGGAGCAAAGTGCTATACTATCCCAGTTGAGAATCCTACTCTAAACCCTACATACCGCAAGAGGTGGAGAGGTGGCACGCCCCCTAGACCGATGTTCAAAGCGCGATTGATTGCTCCCGAACCAAGATTGTGCCAACACCAACAATTGTGTGTTTTTGGAAACATGTCGTCGAGGGCTTTCCGTAGACGTATCAGGCTCTTTCCACACCCCCCTTGATTGTGGAGCGATCGAGCTTTGAAAATTGGTCTAGGAGGAGCGCCATCTCTCCGCCTCTTACGGAATACCACGGTACGGTATACGGTACGGTACAGACAGTCTTGGTTGTGGAGCAATCGAGCTTTGAAAATCAGTCTAGGAGGAGCGCCATCTCTCCGCCTCTTACGGAATACCACGGTACAGTATACGGTACGGTACAGACAGTCTTGGTTGTAGGGCAATCGACCTTTGAAAATCGGTCTTGGAGGAGCGCCATCTCTCCGCCTCTTACGGAATACCACGGTATGGTATACGGTACAGACAGTCTTGGTTGTGGAGCAATCGACCTTTGAAAATCGGTCTAGGAGGAGCGCCATCTCTCCGCCTCTTACGGAATACCACGGTACGGTATAGAGTACGGTACAGACAGCCTTGGTTGTAGGGCAATCAACCTTTGAAAGTCGGTCTAGGGGGGGTGCCATCTCTCCGCCTCTTGCGATAGTCGATGATGGTTTTCTCCATAAGAGAATGAGCCCCGAGCCTCGCGGAAATTAAGAAATACGTCTAGGAGGCTAGTTGGTGGTATTACCGCCTCACCAAAAACAACTCCTAGAGGACCAGCACGGTTGCCCGAGGCAAGCTGCGATACAATTTAAGAAAAGTAGGAGACTAGTTGGTGGTAGCGCGTACTCTATGATCGACAACGAACAGCCAATGGTACCGGCCACTGTAAGCGATGGTATTAGGGAAATTATCACACCTTAGTTAGACTAACCCCAAATTACTACCAATGTATTCTTACTCCACGTAGTATCTCCTCAATGAAGTATCACTCTCGGCCCGCTACTTTTGATACATCTATTTGTTGTTTTTCATAGAAAATGTTGAGCGTCGTTTTTGTTATTCCAATGAAGTGAACGTGTGACCACGGAAGGTGTCAGCGTTAGTACGGATGTGACAAAGTGCTGAGTGGGGATCGGGACGGTGTTGAAAGTGGCGACAAGAACATGAATGCTGTTACAACCGCGACTATTCAGGACCACCGGGCATCGCCACCCCCGCCCCCGCCCGCCCCCCCCGCTCGAAAGAATGGTAACATCTAGACTACGGCTGTCATGTGCGTCATCCATGTTTCGGCCCATGCACTAACCGCCTCTGCTGCCAATGCCATCCGCTTTTAATGCTGCTCGGAGAACCGTAGATACCCACGCTGGTTCGTCCTCCAACACTCTGAACTCGTTGCTAATCTACGCCGGACTCTCATCTTGACGAAACGTTGTGTTTTTGTAAGGAACAAAAACTCAAAGGCCCGACATGAAACGTACCGTTTTCTCCTTTTGTTTGATGGCGTGTTTTGCCATTCCAGGCTGCGCCGCGCCCCGGCAGCCCTGATCGAAATCCCGCCGATTTCTCGGGGTCTCCGTAGAATCAATCTGGTGTTTGATCTGGGGGAGGGGGGGAGGGCATGCAGCCTTGGAAGACAAAGGTGATATGTGCCGGACGGTACCGCCCCAGGCAGTTCGAATACCACCCGCTGCACGAGGACGTGGTCGTTTTCGGCACTTTGAGAGGTGAGACAAGAGACGCCAAGCCTTTGTGCCGTCTCGCTTTGTACACGAAGATAGCCCGAATATGCCCGGTATTTTTTGGGAGGCAAAACCTTACGTAATGCCGCCAAGACAAGGCAGCCCAACCTTTGCCGCCCCGCTGTGCGCGCGAAGAGCGGATAAATGGTCCGAAGATGCCCCATATTTTTTGGCGAAACAAACGGTACGCACCGCCGCCGCCGCCGCCGCCGCAGCAGCAGCAGCAGCAGCAGCAGCAGCAGCCGGCGGCGACGGCGGCGCATGGTTGCTTGTGTACACTTGTGCGTACATGTTTGCAGATGAAAGAGACTCTGGGTTGTCGTATTGTTCGTCCAGACGATTGCGGCATGAACTATGCCCAGGCGCACCAGTTTTTGCCACCGCTTTTGCTAAGAGCGGGGTTTAGTCTGGCCTTTTTCGATGTACAGTACAGCCCGTCGCGAGTCCCGTATCTCGAAGCTTCTTCTTGATCCAGCGCCATTCCTGTGAGGTTCCCCGCGCTGGTGGCGTTTAGCGCGGCTGTCTTTTCCCACCATCGGTCGTCGCCACATCTTTGCTTTTATGATCGCGAAGACTGAATTCACGCTTCTGTCTGTCTGCTTTGTCTATCTGCTTTGTCTTGTCTGTCTGTCTTGCCTGTTTTTTCTCTCTCCCTCTACCTCTCTCTCTATCTCTCTCTCTCCCTGTCTCTGTTTTCTCTCCCTCTCTGTCCGTCTGTCTTTCTCCTTCTCTCTCCCCCCCTCTCTCTCCTTCTCTTCTTCTCCCTTGCTTTTGTCTGTCGCCTCTCCGTTGTTTGCAGGCGAAGCCGTCGTTGCCGACGTAGCGAGCAACAACGTCTGCTCGTCCATTTCGTCAGGGCTCTCGAAGGACAAGCATGACTCCATCCTTGGCCTGTGCTGGATGAAACGTTCCCCCAGCCGTTTCGTGGTCGGCTCCAGCCATGGGTGAGTTTGTTTTTTTGTGTACACCAGTTAACACGTTGAATCCATCTCCTTTTTTTTGTTGTCTTGACTTCAAATCAGTCTTCACGTAGGGTTAGTGTTAGGGTCAGGGCCATCTCTGTTCACAGATAAA